GACAGGAACTTAACTACTTCCTCCCGGTGCGGAACCAGCGCAGGGGAATGGGTGGGCCGGCGTGCAGCTCTGCCGAATGGGTGGTGAGTGCACGCGGCTCTGCAGAATGGGAGGTCAGCTCTGCGACCAGAGACATCTCAACCTGTTTCCCTGACAATTTGTACTTCTCCTATGCAGTCTCAGCACCGGGAGGAAGTTGTTACAGTTCCATTCACTTCCTCCTGGTGCCCAGAGATAGAGACAGAAGGATTAGGGGACAGGCTGTCAAATCCCTGGCGTCATGAAAAAAATCTTAGTCGCCATGGCGACCAGGATTTGTCGAACCCTGTTCTAGTAGGTTGTGAAACATAATTATGTTATTGAGATATATTATTCAAGAACTAAGTTATATGATGTGCTAGTTTTGTGTTAAGTTACATTAAGCAACTGGAAACTCCGCCAGCGATAGCAAGTAAGCTTGAGAGCCACTGGGGTTCATTTCACCAGACAGGTGGTTAAACTAAAAAGAAAAGAAAAAGTCAGGGAAGTAGAAGCTGTATGGAGAAGCAATGTGTCCCTGCAATAACAGGGGTGGCTGGTGATAAACAGGAGGGCTATGTCTTATGTCTATCCCACTCCACATGTAGGCCCTTCTTGAATAGAGTAAAGTTTACACGCTGAGAACATGGAAGGACAGGCTAGATGTACCTGAGAGTTTCATGTGGCTTGTACATTTAATACTATTAACCAAGAGAGAACAGTATGCATGTGTGCACAGCTAACAATTAAACATGGTCTGTATGCATGAAAGGCTACTCCGTCTAGCATGTAAGCTCATTGAGCAGGGCCCTCAACCCCTCTGTTCCTGTGTGTCCAACTTGTCTGGTTACAACTACATGTCTGTTCGTCCACCCATTGTAAAGCACTGCGGAATTTGATGGCGCTTTATAACAACAACAACAACAACAACAACAACAACAACAACAACAACAGCAACAACAATAATAGTAAAAAATAATAATTATATGCGGATTCAGAGATTTGCAGGCTACATTGTACCTTAGGTGTCTGGCTAACTATGACGTGATGGAACTATCATCGCAAAAGGCGCATTATTTAAACTTGATTAATCCCGGGATAGGTTACCCTTTGAAGAGCCGCCTAACCGGCGAAACTCGGGTCGGGGCTCCACTGCTCTTATCCACCTTAACTAAAATCTACCCCTCACCTACATTTACTCTGTTATTATACTTACCTTAGATACTCTACACATACCTGCTTATTTGGTGTCAGAAGGTAGGCAAGATTTTGAGGAGCTGCTAGGAAAGAGTTCAGTCAGTGCAGTAAGCTATCACCAAGTAAGGGATAAAGAGGTTTATAGACAACTAGAAGAGGACCCTACTACTAGAATTCAACAGTCCCTTTTTGAGTTGTTAGAAAAAGGTAAGGATAAAGGGATACTGAAAGATAAATAATATACATTCCTTAAAAATGAATATCCACGTTTACCTACATTTTATACCTTACCGAAGGTTCACAAAAGTTTAGATAGACCCCCTGGAAAACCCATAGTGTCGGGTATAGGGTCTATTTCAGCCAATTTGTCCCAATTTGTGGATGTCCATCTACAAGATTTGGTAAAAGCAATGCCATCATATATAAGGGACACCACTGACATTATTAGGACTCTAAGAAGTATAAGATGGGATGAAGACTGCATACTGGTTACCAGTGATGTATCATCCCTTTATACTGCAATACCACATCAGAAAGTTTGTGAAAAAGTGCAGGAATGCCTTACAAAGTCAGGAAGATTTTCGGAGGAACGGAACATTTTTTTTTTTTTTAAATCGGAATCAGTTGGATTTTAAATAAATTACTTTCTTTTTAATTCACATATTATCTACAATGCCAGGGTAACGTGATGGGGACCAAGTTCGCCCCTAGTTACGCGAAATGTATACATGTCTACATGGGAAAGTCATTTCATATAGGATAGTCTGCACTGGGGGGCGAGCTTGATCCTCGCAGGAACATTGACAATCTTATTTTTATTTGGAAGGGGCCACAGGCGGAACTTGATGTTTTTTTTAAGTGGCCTGAATCATAATGATTGGGGAATAAAACTCACCAGACAATCAAGTGCTAATAGTATAGAATACCCAGATCTGGAGATATATATAGAAAGTGGTGAAATCAAAACAAATTAATTTTTTTTATAGTTGATGCCAACAACTGTGTTGTACAGTAGTGGACATTATACTCCATGGCTTAATAACATTCCGAAGGGTCAACTGCAACGCATTAGGAGAAACTGCACTGACACAGAAGTTTTTAAAGAACAGGCACATCTTTAATGAAAAGATTTTCAGCTAAGAAATACCCCAAAGAATTGACTAATACATTTCGTTATAAGCTTTTAGAAACAAACCAGGAGGAGCTTATTAACATTCGAATAAGTGCTAACCAGATTGGATAAAATACCTTTGGTATTTGATTTTAATGAATCAAGTAGGGATATCAAATATATTATCAATAAACACTAGCATCTTTTAACCATAGATTATGAATTGGCCAAAGTACTTCCTGAGAAACCTTTTTATTACATTTAGAGTAGGGATCGACCGATATTGATTTTTTAGAGCCGATACCGATACCGATATTCTGTGAACTTTCAGGCCGATAGCCGATATAATTTGCCGATATTCTGTACATTTACCATTTTGGAAAATAAAAACTATTTCTAAAGGTAAATGCACAAAATATACATGCAACGTGCAGTGGATGCAGTGTGACAGGGGAGCTGTGTGTGTTTGTGTAGTGGATGCAGTGTGTGTTTGTGTAGTGTGTGTGTTGTGGATGCAGTGTGTGGAGGATGCAATGCGTGTTTGTGTAGGGGATGCAGTGTGTATTTGTCTAGTGTGTGTAGTGGATGCAGTGTGTATTAGTGTAGTGTGTATATAATGAAAGCAGAGTGTGTGGGTAGTGTGCGTAAAGTGAATGCTGTATATACTAAATTCAAAGTGTGTGTGTATATAATGAATGCAGAGTGTGTGTGTATTTGTGTAGTGTGTGTATAGTGAATGTAGTGTGTTTATATAATGCAGAGTGTGTGTATATAATGCAGTGTGTTTGTGTAGTGTGCATTATATAAACACTACACAAACACTGCATTATATAAACACTACACAAACACACACACTGCATTATATACACACTACACAAACACACTACACAAACACACTGCATTATATAAACACTATACAAACACACACTGCATTATATAAACACACTACACAAACACACACTGCATTATACACACACACTATACACACACACACACTGCATTATATACACACACACACTATACAAACACACTGAATTATATACACACACTATACAAACACACACTGCATTATACACACACTATACAAACACACACTGCATTATACACACACACTATACAAACACACACACTGCATTATATACACACACACTATACAAACACACTGAATTATATACACACACACTATACAAACACACACTGCATTATATAAACACACTACACAAACACAGACTGCATTATACACACACACTATACAAACACACACACTGCATTATATACACACTACACAAACACTACACAAACACACTGCATTATATAAACACTATACAAACACACACTGCATTATATAAACACACTACACAAACACACACTGCATTATATAAACACACTACACAAACACACACTGCATTATATAAACACACTACACAAACACACACTGCATTATACACACACTGCATTATACACACACTGCATTATACACACACTGCATTATACACACACTGCATTATACACACACACTACACAAACACACACTGCATTATATAAACACACTGCATTATATACACACACTATACAAACACACACTGCATTATATACACACACTATACAAACACACTGAATTATATACACACACACTATACAAACACACACTGCATTATATAAACACACTACACAAACACAGACTGCATTATACACACACACTATACAAACACACACACTGCATTATATACACACACTCTATACAAACACTGAATTATATACACACACTGCATTATATAAACACACTACACAAACACACACTGCATTATACACACACACTATACAAACACACACACTGCATTATATACACACTGAATTATATACACACACTATACAAACACACACTGCACTATATAAACACACTACACAAACACTGCATTATATACACAGTGTGTTTGTATAGTGTGTGTATATAATGCAGTGTATTTGTGTACATTGTATACAAACACACACTATACAAACACACACTGCATTATATACACACTGTGTTTGTGTAGTGTATGTGTATATAATGCAGTGTGTGAGGGGGCATTTTTTATTAAATTATTTAAAAAAAAAAAAAATGTATAATTCTTATTTATTTTTGTTGTCCCCCCTCCCTGCTTGTTACCTGGCCAGGGAGGGGGGATATGACAGTCCCTGGTGGTATTGGCTGAGCTGGGGGGGCGGAGAGCAAGCGCTTACTCACCTCCCAGCAGCTCCTCCAGCTCCCCAATGCAACTCTCGCGGCCAGCGTGTCGCGTGGAGCGTTGCCATGGTGATCCATGGCAACGCTCGGAAGGCCGCGGGTATCGCGAGAGTTGCATTGGGGAGCTGGAGGAGCTGCTGGGAGGTGAGTAAGCGCTTGCTCTCCGCCCCCCCAGGACCGCCGGGTTTGTAATGAGCCCGGCGGTCCTAGGAGGTATTATCGGCAATATCGGTATCTGAATTGGCCGATACCGATATTGCCGAGAATACCGAATATCGGCGATTATATCGGTAAAACCGATAATCGGTCGATCCCTAATTTAGAGGAGCCATAATACCCTAAAATGGATATTACAAGGCATTTTTGAATAACAAAAAAAGGTTTTTATTCATGTAGTAAGTGTAAGGGCTGCAAAGTAAGTAGGAATAGCACCTTAAAAAGCATTAGTAAATTTGTAATGTTACAAAATGCCTTTTGTAACTGTTCCTTAAAATGACAAATTGCCCTGCTTCCCTGGATTATGGAGAAGCCTATTTGCCAGCCTCCTTCCCCATGACTATGGACCGGGTGTGTATGGCCCTTTAAGAACAGTCTGAGCATATTGGGGCTTATGGACTTTTAATGGTGCTGGCCCTTTAAGCACATTTTTTGGACATAGAGAAAATTAGGACACTGCCCCTTTAAGACTGTGCCCAGACTTGTTTGGGACACTGCCCCTTTAAGCCTGTGTGCCCAGACTTGTTTGGGACACTGCCCCTTTAAGCCTGTGTGCCCAGACTTGATTAAAACCCTTTGTTCCTGGCCATTTCCCACTTGGTTCAGTAAATGGGGTTTACTGAACCAAGTACCACACAGGCGGACCACCTGTATTGGAAGTGTGCAGGCAATTTACCTCCCAGGCTGGGAGCCTGCTGTAGGTAAATTGCTGAAACCTGGGTGGCCGCCGTTCGCGCAAGCGAACACGTGGCGGCGCCATCTTTATTTATTCAAATACGGTCAGCGGTGTGTGCAGCCAAATTCATGGAACTAAAATCGGCTGCAAATTTCCACGAACACCGCTGACCTGTACCTTCTCCCATACTGAACTTTCAGCCGCAGAGACTAAGTCCCATTCGGTAAAAGATGAAAGGCTGGGAACCAAGATACGATAAATAAAATAAAAAGATTAACAAGAATTAAAAGTAACCAGATTTAGCACATTGTTGCATTTTTGTTACTTTTTATTTTATTTTTATCGTATCCTGGTTCCCAGCCTTTCATCTTTTACAGAAGGGAGTGCAGTCCCTAATCTGCACAACGCTCAAAAAGTGAGTCATTACTTTATGACTCTAGGTTTGTAAGTACCCATTTGGAAATTTTATTTTATTCCAAGACATTGTATCAACAATACTGTGCCATTGAGTGTACTTCTACTTTTTACCCAGAACAAGATCCATATCGATAATAGGGGTTGGTCGCCTAAAACGGACCCAGAAGTGATCCAAACCAGAGCTGGGTTCATAGCTCTGTTTGTGAGTGCATACATATTAAAATTGAGGTCTATTAGCTTGCTTTGTATGATCTACACTAGGTCTGATTATTTTTTAGAGATACCTATACATATCTCGATACAAAAAGGAAAACTTAAAACAGGTGATTAATTTATGTTTATATTTTTAAAGCGCTACATTCTTTTCTTGTTTTGAATATAGAATTTTTTAATTTCCTTTAGAAAAACAAACATAAAAAATATATTTTAACATTATTTTGGATATGTTTCAGTCTTTTAAAAATTAAAATGATTGTTTTAACCTTTTTTAAAGTACAATAAGATTTTTAATTGAGTTTTTTAATAAAAATTTTTAACAAGTCTTTCGCAAGAAATTTTTAATGATATGTATTTTTCCTTCCTCTGTACTGGGTCACCTACTCCATTTTGTTCCGGCATCGATATGCAGACTTATAGCACTTATTGGCTGTATTTTGTACTATTTATATATTTCCTTGTAACTTGAATTTATTACTGTCTTGATTCCTAGGCTAATCTCTTTTTTTCTCCCCTTTAGTAGGCAAACTGACAAATATGTTAGGATTTACGTATTTAATATCCATATGGTGTATTTGCAATTAAATTGTAATTATGTTTTTATGTATTTGGATTTTTAGACATTTAGAGAATATGCCCCCCCTTTTTTTTTCCTCTACAAAGGGAGGTATGATAACTACTGAGATGTATAAAAATACAAAATTGTCTTTGTTTGTGGACTTTTATGGGACATGTTTTTTGCTCATTGAGGACTAATATGAGAATTATTGAGATGTATACAAATTGTGTTTTGTTTGTGGACTTTTATGGGACATTTTGTTCATTGCTCGTTAAGGACTAGTATTGAATTCTAATTACCGTATATACTCGAGTATAAGCAGAGTTTTTCAGCACATTTTTTGTGCTGAAAAACCCCCACTCGGCTTATACTCGAGTCAGTGTCTGTATTATGGCAACTTACATAGCCATAATACAGACCAGGACCGCCAGTCCTGTTGGGGGCTGGCAGCAAGCTGTTAGTTACCTTTGTAGCAGCTCCTGTCAGCTCCCTTCACTTCTGCTCACTGTCAGCTCCGGTCTGCTCCCTTCACTTCCGCTCCATTCGGCTCACTGTCTAAATCTCGCGAGACCCACGGCCGTCAGAGAGTTGCCAATGGTTACCGTGGCAACCCTCCACGCGGTGCGCAGACCGCGAGATTTAGACAATGAGCTGAACGGAGCAGAAGTGAAGGGAGCAGACCGGAGCTGACAGTGAGCAGAAGGGAACGGAGGTGAAGGGAGCTGACAGGAGTTGCTACAAATGTAAGTAACAGCTTGCCTTAACTTTCATTTTATGTCTAAGTAGTGCAGTTATAGGGAATTTTATTATCTATAGCTCAGTTTTTATATCAGGTGCACTTGAATGCACAGTTTGTTACTCCTGACAGGTAGCGGCATGTATTAACCGCAAGACTCTTACCGAGTAGATATTACAAACTATCGTCACACCGATCGGGGCTTCTCTTTACACTATCAGCACTAGCTATACATTTTTTGTTTCAGTAAACCCATGAAACCCTGAAACACCTCCCCCCCCCCCCGTTTTGATTTTCATTTAAATAAATAAACATTGTTTCAGACATAAGTACCTTTTCAATTTGTTACAATTTTCCAGCCATATGACTAAATTGGAAAGTAACTATTTCTTATGACGAGAAGTTCATATAACTGATATATACTTACGGCTACTTTTTGGAGAAATCAGTACTCTATATTCTCATTGCTGTTCACACCTTAAAAAGGTACTTATTTGATATTACCCTGCGCGCGCGTACGTGTACACACACACACACACACACACACACACACACACACACACACACACACACACACACACACACACACACACACACACACACACACACACACACACACACACACACACACACACACACACACACTTATCCCCTGTATATATTCCTTTACTCCCAGTATCCCTGTGTTCTAAGTTATTTAATAGTTATTTTAACTATACGAAGTAAATGTTATATTTATGTGTTAAATTTATTAACAAATTGATTTAATTAGGACAGATTATGTTATTTTGCTCTCTGTATCCTATTTAGAAAATTGGGCAGACTCGATGGACCGAATGGTTCTTATCTGCCGTCTCATTTTATGTAACTGTTCAATGTGAGCAATTTAGATGTCTCAAACCTTAAAGGACCACTATAGTCACCCAGACCACCTCAGCTTAATGAAGTGGTCTGGGTGCCAGGTCAAACAGGTTTTAACCCATCGGATGTAAACATAACAGTTTCAGAGAAACTGCTATGTTTACTTTACAGGGTTAATTCAGCCTCTAGTGGCTGTCTCATTGACAGCCGCTAGAGGTGCTTCTGCGACGCTGAAAGCAAAAAACGCATTCAGCGTGCAGAACGTCCATAGGAAAGCATTTTGAAATGCTTTCCAATGGGCGTTTTGAATGCGCGCACAGTTCTGGCCGCGCATGCGCATTCCGCACCACTCAGGAGCAGCCGTCGGAGTGGGAGGAGAGGGCACCAGAGCTGAGGGAGCCCGGTGCTGGATTAAAGTAAGTAGCTAAAGCGATTTTAACCCCTTCAGCCCAGCGGGAGGGGGGTCCTGAGGGTGGGGGAATCTAAGGGTTACATAGTGTCAGAAAATGAGTTTGTTTTCCTGACACTATAGTGATCCTTTAAACATATAATACAAGAGATTAGGAACATTTCTGAAGAACTTAATTATTTTTCCCAGATATAAATGTGT